TTGGATTATAAATGGCGAAATCTCAATAAGAAATGAATTTATACTGTTAGAGATATCTAGAATATTTCCTAGAAATATTTATGATACTTTCCTCGATTTTTTTTTTCATATTTTTCACAACGGCGCAGATATTTAGAAGATTCTCCATATGTCCCTTCGATTATGCATATATGTTACCTAAGTAGTCAACTCATAAAATTTATGATCAGGCTCATATGTTCTTTTTTTTTTTTTATCGAAACACATTGAAATTTACACAAATTTGACATCTCTCTTCTGCAGTATTTCTTCTCTTAGTCAAATTTGACAAATTTGACGTATTTAAAACGCCATCCTCAACATGGTTTGTTAGCTTGCAAAGCAGCTACGACAGCCTCCTCCGCAACGACAAGAGGCCTGCACAACAACCACAAACACACATCAAGCCACGGCAGCGTTAGCTAGTTCTCTCTTTAGCTGGTTCTCTCTTCAGCATAGCAAACCGCTTTTTACCACTCACAAAGAGTTATTGGATCCGGTACACTTCAACCATCAAATTATATAGGTCCCCCGTTAAATCACAAAATTCGACCACGGATGGTGCTCATCAGGCATTTGATATTTCCAACTCGGTCGCTAATAATCCATGTCTCGACCCCTCTAGTACATCTCCTATTGCACCAGACAACTCCTACCCCTCCGACCCTACACCATCATGCTGCGATGATTAGGGGTGTGCAACCGGACCGGATTTACCCGGAAATCGGACCGGCCCACCCGAAAAATAGGTCCGCGACCCAGTTCTAACAAGAACCGGTCCAAGAACCGGTTCCATTTTTTGGGAACCGGTTAGGTTTCCGGTTGCAAGTAAAAACCGACCCGGACCGATTTTAGAACCGGTTTTGAGATAATGTAAAAAAAAGTAAAAACCTTAGATCACGTTACCTTGCCTGGCTACACAATCTGTCACTATAAGATGCAAAGTGATTAGCTAACTGTCACTATAAGATGCTGCAGTACAAAGATTTATACGATTGGACTATGTCTTGCCATGAAAATTTCATTATTTCAATAATACTTGGCATCTCCTGTTGTTGACCTAAAACTTGGTGTTCTGACTTAAGATCTATTAGGGGTTCATCCCATGGATGGTGCCGACATTTTGTTCTCCAAGGATTCATTTCATGGTAGTTTTTAGTCTAGTCGTTATTGGCTCATTTGGAAAAGTTTTATTGTATAAGGCACCTGGAAGACTGGCTAGAACTTCCTATCCTACAGGGTAGTTACCTTTCTCAAAGACTTTGCGGCCAAAGATGTCTCTTGTTCTCCATCTTTCTTGATGAGCTTGAATTTGAGAAAACCTTTCCCATATCCTTGTAGTAAATTGCTTGCATGCTCTACCAATAGCCAATACGTGCATTATGCACTTATGGAGGAAATTACTTGCTGCTCAATATTGGGATCTGTTTCACAACTATGAGTGAAACGGTATAGCCCTTAAAATCATCTAAATATTGTGTGATTCAGATGAGATATATAGACATTTCTCTAGTGAGAGCAGATGCTTTACTGCTAAGCCTCTTGATTTTCCGTTTAGGATATTTCATTTGGAAACAGAAGTGAGGAGTTCTCTCATCATGGCGCAAAATAAAGAGCTAAACATGTTGAACAGATTCCCCGGAAATGTGACTCTTAAAGATTTATGCGATTGGACTATGTCTTGGCACATAATGCTTTTGGATTGTTGATCTTCATAGATTGTAATTTCAATTGCTCATTTTAGGGATTGTTATTTTTGGCAGATAGTTGTTTTTATTATTCTTCTTTTACTTTAAATCGTTTCATTGCTACCTATATTATTTTGTTGGAAAAAAAAGAAACCATAAAAAGGAACAAAAAAAAAAATAGGTTTTCGGGTAGACCCTGAAACCGGATCAGAAAAACATGGTCAATTCCAAAACATGGTCTAGGGAAAATAGGGTAGGTTTCAAGTTCCAAAAATTGAGAACCAGTTATAACAGAGTTGGTTTCAAGTTCCAGGTCTAGACCCAACTCACCCTGGAACCGATCACCTCTAGCGATGATAGCCTCCTGCCGCATTGCATGTAGAGTAGCCACAACAACACATAACAGCCATGTCAACATCTGCCAGTTCTCTCTTCAGCATCTCGAACCAATACATCAAATTACCCAAGCATTTTTGGATCTTCTATTCAATCACAAGTTTACTTGTTCCAAGTCACTTTGAGTTTGAGGGATGCCAAACATATTTAGGATATTTTCCTTGATATTCCAATCTCTTGTGATGGTGCATATATCTAGGAAGTTCTCCATATTTCGCTTTGATTGTACGTATTCTTGATAGATATGTTACCTAAACGGTGATCAGGCTTGTATACTCTTTATTAATATACATCGAAAAATACAGAAATTTCATATTTTCTCTCTTTCCTATTTTTTCTTTATCTGCCTACGTGCAAGAAAATTGTCCAAAAAGTTTTGAACATATTGCAATTTTGCCAAAATTCAGTCGTAAATCTTCAATTGAGTCCTAAACCTGCCAATTGAGTCTATCCGATTAATTTTAGCTAGAAATCGCTGACGTGGAGAGCCAGCCATCCTACTTGTCACGGCCACGCTAATACGGACCCTTTTGATAATATTTTTTTGAATTTTTGAATTAATATTTTTAATGTTTTTGAATTTTTTTCCTTTCTATCTTTTTCTTTTTCTTTTTCTTTTTCTTCTTCTAAGCCAGGTCAGGGCCGCTGGCCAACCCTCGCCGGTACGAATGAGAGCCACAAAGACCTCGCTTGCGACCAGCGAGGGCTTTGCGGCCGTCGCCCAATGGCCGACGAAGGTTATTTTATAATTTTTTTTTTTTTTTGATAACCCAGGGAACCCCCGCACGGCCGACAGCCGGGGAGTAAACCCTGGGGGTGACACGTACTAGCCACTACACACGTGCCATCGGTTAAGTCACCCTGCGGCGCCCGGGATTCGAACACTCAACCTTTTGCGAGAGGAAGAGTGCGCACTCCAGCAGCGCCACCCAGGCGGGTGGTGTTATTTTATAATTATCGTTAGGCAAAAAGAATAGAATTCGGAATTAAATAATAAAAAAATAACCGTAACTCTATTGCAAATAGTCACGCTGTTTCAATAAGACATAAAGATTTTTTTATAATTATAAGTCCGAATTTTAATAAATAAAAAATAGTAATCATTGATAAATGCACCTAATAATCATGCACCCACATGCGGGTATAGTAGAGTCCAGCCCACTACGCTCATCGTCTTCATTTGTAAGAATATAAGACTTTCACACTTATATATTGGGCCACACGCTCTCCTCTGTTCTATGTTGGACAGGCACTTGCCACACCACTTGCCCAAAGGGTTCTTGGACTGGATAAGAGCGCATGGCATGGGAAGATCGTGCCATGGGCCGCCTAGAGCGAGGTGCTGAGCCAACCGGCGTCCGTATGGGGTACAACTCGGTATTCGGGAGCACGGTGGGGGGCGTGCCGATGATATGCAAGCCACTCTGGGGGGACAACATGATGAATGGAAGGATGGTGAAGGGATGTTGGAGTGGGAGTGGAGGGAGGGATCGTTACTAAGAGTGGGAGGGTGAAGGCATTGGAGTTGGTGTTGAGGAGTGAGGAAGGGAAGGAGATGAGGAAGAGGGTTGGTGAGCTTAGAGAGAGAGAGAGAGAGAGAGAGAGAGAGAGAGAGAGAGAGAGATTGGTGGAGGCCGCCTCGCCTGGAGGGAGTGTTGAAGCTGATTTCAAGGCCCTTGTGGAGTTGATTTCTACTTCGTGATACGTTTCATTTCTAGTTTGCTTTGTATGCTCTGTATGGAGATGAGATCTTTGCCAAAGACACCGAAGGAGATAAAGGATGCTTATCCTGCGTAGTGGAAGATTTACATTGATCTTGGATTTTGATAGATAACCAAGCTGACTTCTCTGAAATTTATTATTCAGCGGCTTGGTTGACTTAGAGCGATGAGTTTTGTGCCTTTAGCAAATGCTTCTTTTGGGCAATTGGTACGAGGATATAGAGTTCATGTTAGTGTAAGATAAACTACACTAGGCTCTTCTACCGTAGTTCAATCCAGTTTTCACATAGACTTGGTCTAGGTAGACCGACATGCTCGAAACCATTGATCGTGTGGGTCCTGCTATCCAACTTTTACATATACTGCAGTCTAGTATTCTAAAAGCCGGACGACGATATTTGCTAGTATGACCACATGAGCAACTGGTAACTTCTGGGATGCGAATAACTGGAAAATTTCCTTCAACAGATGAAGGTTAAGGTTGAGCAAAAGATTGACGACAAAGCGTCGGTCATCTCGCCTGCAAACATCGACAATGAAGCTTCGGTCAGGACCCAAGTCACTTTCCTTCCTACATCTCTCTCCGAGGTCTCCATGCCGTCTTGGAAGCTCACGGGCGCTGCTTCGAAGAACAGCTTGGCTCGCTTTGTATTCCCGGACATTTGAGTGATCAATTTGTATGATTCAAATTTCTGCTGAACCCTTTTCTTCTATAGTGAAATTTTCAGCTTCTTGAGAGCGCACTATCGAAACACGGCAACCCCGGCGTCTGATTTCCTTATCTCTATATTCTTTTTATGTGTTGGATCCGCTTGGTTTCAATTCCAAGCGATTCCGACTAAAATGATTTGCAATTGTTTATTAAGCTCTGGCATCCTTGAAATTTCTGTTCATACACGACAGTTCCAATAATTTAATTCAGAACACACGGATTTAGGGATATTTGGTTATGCTTATTATTGAGATCAAATGTTTTGGGATTCACGAAGACAGCTGATGCGAGAAGTTTGAATTTTTGCCTTGTGCTTCTGGAATACCAAAGCCTGATCGAAGAAGATGGTGACGTCAATTGTAAGAACTCAGGACGCCCTTAGTTTCATTCTCTTGCAAAATGAGTCCTCTTCACTCCACTGGTAGTCTGCCCCACGTGTAATGAAAGGAACCCAAATTCTAGCGTGTGAACATCGCCCTCTTCATTGAAAGCACTTACGAAAAAGACATCGATGACTTTATATAGTAAGAAAAAGCTCACATACTACGACATACTACGATAGGACCACTAGATTTTATAGGAAAATGTCTCAACTATCACTATCACTGCGATTTTTTTCTCTGGTTCTTCATAGTACTGCAATTATTGAAGGTGGAAGAATAAAACGCTGTTACAGAAAAGCAGAGCTTTTCAGCAACAGTTCTGCATTTTTCACTTGCTTTTAGTCGGCTTCACAAGGTAGAGATGAGCTCCACGAGAGCCTTGAAATCAGCTGCGGCTCTCCCTCCAGGTCCGGCAGCCTCCGCCAATTTCTCCCTCAGCTCGCCAACCTTCTTCCTCATCGCCTTTCCTTCCTCGCTCCGCAAAACCACCTCCAACGCCTTCACCATCCCGCTCTTCGAGAGGACACCTCCCTCCACCCGCACTCCGATCCCCCACACTTCCTCCACCAACTTCCCGCATATCCTCTGGTCCACCGCCACGGGCCGGCCTATCATCGGCACGCCCGCCGCCATGCTCTCGAACACCGAGTTGTAGCCGCAGTGCGTCACGAAGGCCCCACAGGCCGGGTGGCCGAGCACCTCCCGCTGTGGGGCCCATGGCACGATCCTCCCGCGCGCGGCCGTCCGCTCCTCGAACCCTCTGGGCAGGCACTGGGCCTTCAACCGGTCGGTCAGGGACCACAGGAACGGCGTCCCGGTGGACTCTAGGGCTTCGGCGAGGGACGCTATCTCGTCCGGCGGCGGGCTGGTCAAGGGGCCCGACCCGAAGGATATGTACACCACGGTTTGCGAGCCTCGCGAGTCTAGCCAGGGCAAGCAGCCGGTCTCGTCCGAGGCGGGGAGGCTCGGCGGCGCCAATGTCAACATGCCCAAGTAAAGCAGAATGCTGAACTTGGACTTAAGGTCGGCGGTGAGGGGCTCGGGATCCATCTCCACGAAGGAGTTCATGACCACGGCGGCCGCCCGGGGGATCACATTCCCCAGCTCGCGGAACATGCGGCAAATCGTGGACATGTTCGGGTCCATCGCTAGTTCCTCTGGCAAATCCACCATGCGCATCAGAGACAGCCCCGGGATCATGTCCAGGGTCTGTTCTTCGTCTGTGGCGTCTCGGCTCAGCTGGTGGATGAGGTCGGCGTAGACGTGGATGGATAGAGAGTGCGGAGCCGAAACCCAGAACGAGACCCACGGGACGCGCATTTTCTCGGCTACTTCGCACCCGACCACCGTTATCAAACCGTCGGCCAGCAAGAGACTCACTTTCCTTCCCGCGTCTCGCTCTGCGATATCGACACCGGCCTGGAAATTCGCGGACGCTGCCCTGAGGAACAGATCGGCTGGATCTCGTGGGTCGCCGGTCGCGTCGTGGTAGCCAGTCGGCAGGCCATCGCCGATGTCGTAGACCCTGAGGTTCGACGGTATTGAGGCCGCTCTCGACGGGGGAGGAAAGACGACGACGTTGGACTTGGCCGTGCTCAGGAAAGAGAAGCGGACGTCCCCGGCGGCTGCGGCGAGCTTGCCGACCAGGTTGGCCAGGACCCAGGGGTGGCTGCCGAAAGGGAAAGCGCAAACCGCGACGTGTTTCTCCGATGGCATGATGGTCGGATATGGTCGTGTGTTTTACGAAGAATTTGGAAGTGAAGAGGGAGTGGGAGCGACAGTAAAAAGAGCGATTGCTTCATCAACCCCTGGCTTCATCAGTTATTTATAAAAACAATTTTTTCTCAATCGAGGACGTGAATTTTATCACTATACGATCTTACGGTGTCTCTCTTTGACCACGTCTCAATAGAATCGAGCCATTGGTATAATGAAAATAAAATTTGGTAAAACTCTACGTAACTTTCCTCTGGCAAAAAACATGCCTGATGTCTTCGTCCTCATTGACGTTAATTGAGCTAACACGTCCTAACACTCCACATGGATACCACTATACGTCAGTGACGAAGATAGGGTTTAGGTTGACAGAGGCCACAGTCATTGTGGCAAAAATAAAATATAGTGAACTTGTTCCTTGACTTATTATTCAAACCGAAAGAGAATCAAATCGAAAAGATTCGAAATTTTCGGTGGGGTTTGAGTATTTTTCACACCCGTTTCGTTTGCCAAGCCTGGAAGTTTTTGTCAGGAGAATGTAATCAAAGTTACGTACGATGAGTTGTACATTACTTATAATTACATGAGTTAATACCACAAAAAATCACAAACTGGTACACACTTGACAATTTTACCGTGAACTAATCTTTTCACTACCAAAAATCCCAAACTGGTACACTTATAATAAATTTATCCCGAACTATTTTTTTTACCACAAAAAACCCCACACTTGTACATTTGTGACAATTTTACCCAGAATTAATTTTTTGACCACCAAAAGCCCCAAACTGGTACACCTGTGACAATTTTACCCCAAACTAATTTTTAAACCACTAAAAACCCCAAGCTGGTACATTTGTGATAAATTTACTCTCGTTAGTGTTCGTTAAGTTGGATTAATATCACGAAAAATCACAAATTGGTAAACTTGTGATAAATATAGGAGTAAAATCCCAAACTAGTACACTCGTCAACTACCACGTGTAATCAAACTTAGCAATTTGACAGTAAAATTTAACGAAAACTAATAGAGAATAAATTTGTCACATGTCTACCGGTTTTGGATTTTTGGTGGTCAAAAAATTAGTTTGGGATAAAGTTATCACAGGTGTACCAGTTTGGGATTTTTTATGGTCAAAACAATAGTTTGAGGTAAAATTGTCACAGGTGTACCAGTTTTGGGTTTTTTGTGGACAAAAAAATAGTTCGGGGTAAAATTATCACAGGTGTATTAGTTTGGGATTTTTCGTGGTATTTACCCTAATTACATTCATTATAAGGACGCGGAAGATCCTCTGTACTATAATTTGTGCAATCATTGGTGACAAAAATGAATGTTTTGGGGATGGTCGGCCAGAAGTTGCTTATTTATTTTTAGGGTTAATACAATGAAAAACCCAAAATTGGTACATCTGTTATGAATTTACTAAAAACTAATTTTTTGACCATCAAAAATCCCAAACTGGTACACTTGTGACAATTTTTCCTCCGTTAAATTAGATTAGTACAACAAAAAATCATAAAATGATAAATCTGTGACAAACTGATGAGTAAAACCATAAACTAGTATATTTGCCAACTGCTATGTGTCATCAAATTCAGTAATTTGACGATAAAATTTAACAGAAACCAACGGGGGTAAATTTATCACAGATGTACTAGTTTGAAGTTTTTAGTGGTCAGAAAATTAGTTTAGGGTAAATTTATCACAGATGTACCAGTTTGAGATTTTTAATAGTATTAACCCTTGCTTTTGTTGAGCAATCACAAATACCCTAGCTAACCAAATATAGTTTACTCTAAGGAAATTAGTGCAACCTTTCCTAGCCTTTGAATTGATGCGAAAACAATGTCACCCCGGCCAGCCTCGACTTGACTGGTGGGTGACGGAGAGAGAGTCTCGACGCTAACCCACTAGACGGACAATCGACCCTAGGGAAATAAGCTATCCCGATTCACTAGTCTAGCCCGAGAGCTTCACTTTTTGGAGTGGCAAGTAGTTGAATTGAAGGAAAGGGGCAGCAAATAAAATTGAATGGGTTCTGCAATCGGGCTCATCCTCTTTCCTTTCCTTCAAACTTCATTTCCATGTCATCTAGGTCCTTTTTAGCTCTCTTCCTTTCGTTTATCTTTGCTCTGCATGGAAAACTGTGGATGGACAAAGAAAAAGGTCACTATAAATTGTCCGCTGCAAAATCGGGAAGCTTTATTACTCATGCACAGACCACGTGCAACCACGTCCAAGTTATTACCGCCACATGATTTTTTTTGTATGGTACGACGAATTGCAAGGTTTAGGGACCCATTTCAGTTCGATACCTATCAGGGGGCCTATTTTTGTTTGTTTGTATTAATGGAACCGTCAATTTGTTAAGTAAGGTGTCTCGATCACTGGTCACACTTGCTCGAGGTGGTGATAGTTAGGAGTGAGCACCAGTCCCGGTCCACTTCGGGAACCAGACGGGATTGGCCGGTTCTGAGCGATTTCCACGAGAATCTTCCCAATTCTCAAAATTTGGAACCGGTGGGAACCGGACTGGCTGCCCTAAAATCAAATTTAGTGCTCGAACTCTTCACCTCATACTTAAAAGCAGAACAAACACTAAAAGCTACAAGCCTTACCTGCTGTTATGTGCAAGATTAATCGCTAATTATGATTACATCGAGTGATGTTGACGTCAAATTTGGACCACATTTCGTGTGCAAGTTGGAGAGACAAATCTCATCTCATGTTACACGAATTGGAGATTTAAGAAGTGAAAACAACTATGAAAGAAGTTTGAGTTGCAAAATCCCTTAACAAATCCATTGTATATCTACTCACTCTTTCGTTGAGTGAGAAGATGGTGAAAGTTTGTTACCTCATTTTCGTTTTTACCTCGTTTTTTTTTCTTTTTTTTTGCCTATCCTCACAATATAACCTCCCTGTTGCTATAAGTGAATCCCTAACTATACTTCCGTTTTGGTTTCTTACTTCAAGCAAATATTGACATAAGCAACTGTCGTGACTTTTTCAGAGATGAACTACCAAGGAAAGCTAATGAGCTACTAAACGGGAACAAAGGTTCCTCTCACAAGCTAATCACTCATGTTTAACGCGGACTCTTTTAAACCTTATCAATCGCAACTTGGTACTTGATTTAACATGTAATTTTTTTACTTTTTGGAGTCACTGCTAATCAATTATGAGTCGATTAGACACTCAAGTAAAATGAGGGAACACATTTTACTTCTACGAACTAGAGATTCAATTGGTTTGAGAACTTGGTTATGTTAGATTAATTAATCAACGCCCTTTTAGTACCTTTTCTCTTTATTTCAAAAATGTTTTGCATGCAGTCTTATCAATCTGTATCCTATGCCACTAACATGTGAGGGGTAATCACGTAGGTACACAATCAGGAAAGTAATACCTAATAATTAAAGCAATAAATATATTGTTAAAAATTTTAAAAACCTAGATGCGCTAAGCGAAGCAAAGCATATCACTATCCATCATTACAAAATTTCTGTAAACTATTACTCATAAAAAATATGCCGAGAGAATGCTAGCATACATTCTATACTAATCCCTTTTTTTTTTTGTATTTTCTACACCTAATTCATAATCTAAGAAAATGCATGATTGAACTCTAAAATTCTATATGACAGGAATTGACTTACATGTACTAATTAAATTACTAAATGGCATGCAGGAATGATATGGTTATATGACATGCATGATGGCTAAACGACTTATTATCGAATTAATTCTCAGCGTTATCCATTGGAGATATCAATTAAAATTAATTCTAAATGACATGGATCCACTAAATGACATGCAATTTGTAGTTTACAAAAATTGATATTCCTAACTAATATAATCTACATGGTACTTTCTAATTCAGTATTTTTTTGTTCTTTTTCTTTTATTAATTAACAGAAGAATTATTTTTGTTATTTTTTTTCTTTTTTTATTAATTAACTAATACTATCTACGTGGTACAACCGGCACTGACGTGGATATTTTAAATAATATATTTTGTTATTTTCTTTTTTATTATTATTTTTATATTATCAAGGGCCTCCGCCCGTGGCTAGCAAAAAGCTCTTCAAATTACTACAATCATTTCAAATTTGCCTTTAACTTGGAATGATTATCGAAAGAAACTTCTCCACATGACCAAGAACCTACTGTGGATAATTTGATAAAATACATTCTAATTGAGGTAGGTTCTTGATATCATGAGGTTATATATATGAAAGAAGTTGCAAACAAAGTGCATTTTATTGAAAATGGCAACGTGAGTAGAGACAAAAATCATAAGATGGGAAACAAGAGGAAATTCAAGGACACCAACTATTGACACCTAAATTTTGACAACCCCATTTAGCCATAAGAAAATTAGGGATCGACCCCAATCACTAAACAAAAATATTATTAATTTTCATATTATGAGAATTTTAATTTAATAATAGGCTTGCATAAATTGCATTGTATTGGATTGGCGCTAATGGCTTTAAGCAAGGAGGCCTCAGGCTTAATTAAATTTTCAGGACTGAACCCACATTTGACCAAGCCCGTAGTCTCCCTTGATGTGGCTGAAAATTCCCCATGTGCATGGTACGTATAGTTGTTCTGAACTAGGGAAGTGGATGGACCATAATGGAAGGGAACAAGTCAGAGAACAGGAAGTTCATGAGATCTTGGAGGTACCCAGCAAGGTGAACATTTTATACAGTCTTGGATCACTGAGATACTGAAAAAGACTAATGAATGGTAGTTCGTAAGGTAATAGAAATGAGCAGCTTGAATATACTCACGGATTGCTGATAGAAGTGATTGCTTATATCAACTCTGAAGCATTTGTTTATAACGTATTTTTGTGATCTGGATAAGACCTAAATATTTTTTTACTTGATCTGCATGTACAAAAATTTGATAGCTAGTCACATATTTGGAAATTCATAAGATTATTCGAGGAAGAATCCAATCTATTATCAATCCTTTGGTGACAAGGATTATGTACTAATATAAACGACTCTATTTGTGGAAGCAACAAGATTATTGGAAGATTTGATTATATAGGCGACAGATCTCCGGTAATTTGATTGC